CAGCTTGCACGGACGGACGGACAGACGGACATCCGGATTTCAACTCTACTCGTCACCCTGATCATTTTGGTATATATAACCCTATATCTGACTCTTTTAATTTTAGGACTTACAAACAACCGTTATGTGAACAAAACTATAATACTCTCTTTAGCAACTTTGTTGCGAGAGTATAAAAATGAATCGTAAAATGTGTGGCTAAGCGCATAACTCAACAACGCCTGGACCAATTTGGCCAATTCCTTTTTCTAAATGTTCGTTTAGGTTCAAGGATAGTTTTTACGGCAAGAAAAATTCAAATAATTTCCGAAAACCCCTTAAAAACAGCCATTTTCTTTTTCCCATACACAGGAATGAATGTTTGCTTGTTGATAACGCTAAGAGAACGGCTGCACCAATCTTGATGAAATTTTCAGAGGTTGTTCGTTGCGGGTCGAGGAAGGTTTAGAAATAAAAATAATTTATATTTTTCATGAGGAAAAGTCGGAAAATTAAATAATTCTAAAAAGTAAATTTTTCCATACAAATTTTTTTCAATTTTTGTTTGTTTTGTTTTTCAATATTTAGAATTGTAAATTATTTAACCGTTCAATTTCGGTCGTTTGCTTTTTTATTCCGGCTATTCAAAAGAAAAATTATTGAAAATTTTTCAGTGAAAACTTTGCGTGTATTTCATATAAAGAGATCAACTGCAGATTGAAGTTTGTTACGAATCTACAAAGAGGTCGCCCTAATATCGGTCTTCTTTCTTTTTGCCAGCAACGTATGGCAGCCCAAGGCAATTCAATAAGTACTCCCAGGATGCGGTAACATACGTGCACAATTGTGGATCGCAGTCAATCGACAATCGATCGTCACGATGTCATAGCAGAACTTTTTAAACAACAGTTACGATGTTTGATGGTGCTGTTGGATGCTAGATGTACTCTGTTGAGTGGCAAAAGAGAGGTTTACCGCACGTACACATTCTTCTTTGGATGGTGATCGATAAAATAAGTTTGTAAGTACGTCACCAAAAGAATCAAAGGTTATTGGTCTTGAACGATACGGTCGATACGTGAACTGCAATAAAGCGCTCGGTAGGATATTTACGTTTGCAATTCAAGAACATTTTCCAACTGTTGTGCGTCTCGCAGTTAATTTAGAGAATGCCTAAAGACTGTATTTCAACCCAGAGAATACAGTACAGCCAGTGGAAACACCACCAGCAACAAAATTAACATTTACGAGTTGTTTCTCAACTTTCGTCAGTGTTTGCGAGAACATTGTTCTATTCGGAAATACCTTGATATTATACTTGGAATGCATCGTCGAAGAAATAGTTGCTCAGAAAGCATGGCCAACCAGTAAATTGACATCCAGGTGTGTTCTCAATTAATGCCTTCGGACAAATTTACACAATCCACCCGAAAAACGGCGATTGTTTCTACATTCGGTTGCTACTGATTAATGTATGCGGTTGAACTTTATTTAATTCATTGCGTGCTGTGAATGGTACGATGTGTGTCACAGTTTTGAAGAAGTAAGCCAGCAATTACACTTGCTGGAACACGTTAATCACGGGAATGAAAATGAAGTTCGCACACTTTTCTCGATAATCATTTCGACATATCAGCCTTCAAATCCGCCACAATTATGGGATCGGAACAAAAATGACATCGCCGAAGATATTTTACATCGCCCTCGCAAAAATTTGGAAATGGGTCAATTCCGGTTGATACATCCGGTGGTTCGATATCAATTCCATCAGCCGTTTATCAATTCACGAAAGATGAACTCATCACAAATGTTCGAACAAAATTCCGATGTTGTTGACTTAAACTGGAAGATTCAAAATCAAATTCCGGGAGGCTAATACAAAGCGATAGATCTTGGCAATGAAGACGACGTCGTGAATTACTGCATTTGAGATGAAAGCAGGACTCAAGGATAGTCACATAGTTTGTGCAATAAATTTGGAAATGCTATGTTTTTCACGTGTCCAGATATACATGGCGTCCTCACGAGTTGGTAAAAATGATTTTTATCAAGTTGCGTTACATTGAAGAAAAAATTAAATGATAAATTCAACTTTCTTTTTATTTCAAAACACATAATTACACGCAGGGCAACGGGTGCGCGGTCAGCTAGTTGAATATAAATATTGTGAAGCTTTCTGTCAATAATTTAAAACGAATAAAATATTGGTTAAATATCCACAAAAATGTCTGTTTTGGTTAACAAATATTTCAATGTGCATGCAAAGTTTTTGATATTGACAAAAATAAAATCTGTCATTTTTACTGTATGTACATATTTTGGTATAAGTATTTCCTCTTCTGGAAGCTTGGTACACACATAAGATACTTTGGCATTTATCCAGTAATAACTGCAGGTCTATATACACGTAAGCCAGATTTTGCTCTACTACGATTATTTACTCGTTTTCGGCTTTTTTTATTTCCGCGTAGTATAACCTTATTTCCACGTATCTTTTGTTTCAACATATTTTTCCGCATTGTATATTTGAAATTACGTATTGTAAACCTTTTACGAACTGGGCCTGATGGCGTGTTTCCGCTATTTCCAGTACCAGTTCCACTACCGTTATTGTTACCTCCGTTATTGCTGCTGCCACCACTGTTGTCAGTATCACCAGTCTTATCGTCGTTATCATTGCTGCCAGTATCTTCATCATTATCGTTGTCTTTGTTGTCAGTATCTTCATCAATATCGTCGTTATCATTGTTGCCAGTGTCTCCATCATTATCGACGTTATCATTGCTACCAGTATCTTCACCATTATCGTTATCATTGTTGCCAGTATCTTCATCAATATCGTCGTTATCATTGCTGCCAGTATCATTGTCATTATCGTCATCGACGGTATCCTCATCGACACAATTGGCTACAGATAGAAAGCATACGCTGAGCATCGCTATCACCAACAGAAAACTCAATTTCGCCATTTCAGAGCGGTTTCCTTGCACTATGGCTGGAACTAATTTGAGTTGAGAAGCGATTACTTCGGTATTTATACTTCATGCGCCACCAAAGAGTTGGGGAATTATTTTAATTGCAAGTTCTTCGTCTTTCAAGGTCAAACCACCTTTCTACTGCATAAATTGTTTTCTTGGAAATACGCATGCAGCTGATTTATTAGACAAGCTGAATAAACTAAAATTAGAAAAGCCAGGTGTAGGGATCATTTTTGCAAATATATAGAATTTTCGGTTAAAATTATTGTTGGCGATATACTTCCAAAGTAGTCTGATGTTTTTTAATATTTTTAAAATCTTCCTCTTAAGAATTTCAATACATTTCAATAATTTGGTTTTCGTTTGATTGCCTTTTTTGCTTTAACCAATAATTAGGGGATATTAAAACCAAGAGGTGTTTAGAACTTAAGTGGCATCAAGATCAAAAGTAAGAATAGACTACCTAATTTGTGAATACGACTTCCGAACTTGAACGTTAGAATTTCGGCCTAATTTTACATATAAACATACTTGTATTATTATGTTTAATGTCATATAACCAAATATTTTGGTAAATTCGAAAGATTTTTTAATAAAAAGTCGTATTAATATTTGTTATTTGAACATGTGGCTAGAATTCTTTAATTGAGAAGAAACACAAATATTTAAGAGTTTTATCGCAATTGTATCTTCAAAGTCGTCATTCCCTATATAAAACTAAAAGCTTCTATTTCTTCTCGATGAACTCTGTAATCGGTAAAGCGTTTTTGAAAATTCTTCAGCCATATTGCTTCCGAGGAAGTTCTCATGAAGGCGCCGCCTTAATATTGTTTAATATTTTACATCTTTAATCTTCACTGTCGGCCAGCTTATCAAGCTCTTCGTACTCACAGATTTCGGCCTCTTTCTCTTCCCTCTTCACCTCACGGTATCTATCCCATCCCGCACGTGTTGTGGTCGATCGTAACGTTGCGAGGTAGGCAGTCCCTCCGTTGCGACATGGCACGCTTCGACTCACCACCTGTTCTTTTGCACTTTCCGAAAACCAGTGCTCTCAGAGAGGAGGAGTGCAAGCCGAGTCGAAAATCGTTCTTGTTGTGATTGCAGCTTCTCGGCGCCGAACCTTCCTTGTGTTTGTTGGCGTGCGTTTTTTGCTGCACAAAGGCGTTTGCAAATCTTGGCTCTAACGAGATAGTGGTCCGAGTCGATGTTAGGACCTCGGAATGCACGCACATCTAAAACACTGGAGACGTGTCTTCCGTCTATCAAAACATGATCGATCTGGTTGGTAATTTTTCGATCCGGAGACAACCAGGTAGCTTGATGAATCTTCTTATGCTGGAATCTAGTACTACAGATAACCATATTTCGGGACCCGGCGAAGTTGATCAGCCTCAACCCATTTGGGGATGTTTCCACGTGGAGGCTGAATTTACCGACCGTAGTGCCAAATATACCTTCTTTGCACTCTGGCGTTAAAGTCGCCAAGCACGATTTGGAGCGTGGCGCTCCAAGCACTCATAAAAGGCATCTTTGATCACATCGTTCCTCTCTTCCGTCGGGTCGTGGCATCAGAGGCATTAAATTTTACATCCTAGATAGTAAAAGGTAGTTTTATGGGAGCCGATGTCAAAACTGGATGATGAGCGTGATATCGCCCATTTTTAGGTACAATCGCATATTTCTCTACCTACTCAACCAATTTCAATTACAGTTGGCCCATGGCATTGTTATGACATCTCTATGTCACGATACGGATCACTACCACGCCTAATTCCCATATAAACACTTTTTTAATTTCATCTGATCTTAATTAAATATCAAATTTGTATGTAATCCATTCACGGTTTTTTCGACTAATGAATGTTGAATTCTTTCGCAATATTTTTAATATTGTATCAAGTTTTGCCAACACCGGAAGGTATTTCCTGGCTTTATAAATCGAGGCTTGCCATATGTACTATCCACATAATAGTTTAACTGTTGTTGGTCTCGAATTTGTTTAAATAAAGTATACTGATATCTGAGTTTATAATAAAGTACGTATGTGGAGAAAGGCGAGCTTGGGGGAAGGGTGACGTTAAAATCGGTTTCAACTGAAACTCAAAAATTTGTGTGCGATTTTGGGTAGCCTGTTACTAATCAGTCATTTGTTTCGTTAAGATAACATCAGTAATATCTGAAATATAAAGAACAAAGTCAATGATAGTAATGAAAATCGTTATATCGGATCTATGCCACTCGAAAACTCATTAAATCGATTTCACATATTTAAGACGAAAAATAACAAAATGTCAATCAAACCATTTTCATAAAATTTTATGGATATTCTTCTTAATGCCCGGTATATATGGTGTCATAAGAAATGGTGTAGGCCGGCTTTCATTAAAGAAAGCATACAATGATCAGATTAGAATAAGTAAGCAGTAAAAATTTACCAGAGAGTAAACGGTGTAAAACCAATTGTAAACCCTATGTATCGCCTTTAATTATAATGAATTAGCTGCACAGATAACACTTCATACACAATTTTCTTACAAAATTTGGATTAACTAGGTTCAGTAGATTGTAAGAAGTGTGCATTAATAAACATATGTGGAATAATGAGTAAGCAATTGAGAAGTTAAGCCTTCTCTCAATGAACAAAGACCAAATGCTACATCACACATCATATCCGTCCTGCTACATTGTGTAGAGACATCTGGGGGTGCCCGTTGGAAAGCCCAGATGGAAAAGGACCTGACTACACTTGCAATCTCCAATTGGAAGATTAAGAAGCTGTGTGACATTAAATATTCTTATAATCTTGAGAGATTATACTTAATTCTATTAAGATACCTACCACATCAACAAAAAGTGAGACGTAAAAATTCCATTCGGTACATATGTATGTATATTGGAAGCAAATGTTTCTACAAAATCGTCAATTTAACAAAATATTTAAAATTTATTTTATTTTGACCGGGAACCATCACTACCGATTAATAATAACTAAGATTTGTAGAAGATTTGTACTCAGCTAAGTATCGTATTCTAAATAGTTTAGAACTGTATTGTGGGAGGTAAGCGTGGTTATTAGGCGATGTTTCTCAATTAAACGTAGAGGAGGAAATCATCAGACACAATGTTGCTGCGAAGTTTACAGTATTTACGAAGTTTATTAAACTTGACAGAGGACAAGCTACGACCACTTTTCAGAACTTGTAAATCACACATGCGCCTTACTCAGTAACTATGTATGTGTGGGACACTTGAGCTTCTCAACTTATTGAATAACTAACAGTTTTTATGTTGTATTTCCATAAAGCCGTTTTTTGGTCCTACAATGGTCCGATTCCGAACATTAACGAATTGCTTACACAATATAATGCTGTGTGCCAAGTGTTTACGTGAATATCTTTTACCTCGCAAAATTTATTATATTTTTCAAATATTTGTTTTCTAAAGACTGCTGAAACAATTTTGAATCAAATATTGGGAATCTTACATTCAGGTTGATATAAATGCACCTGTATAAATAAACAGTTGTACGCTGCAAACACGCAAACAAATAGTATAAATATACAGAAACTGGTATACTTTGTTACAGTTTAACGCCAGCGGCCTTGAAACATTCTACTTACATACGAGAACTTGGCAAAAGTTGAAATGTTCATCATAAATTTGCATTTGATCTGTGGATTTTTGGTTCTGATGTCGATTTGTCAGGTCATGCCGGTGGATGGCGCTATTGACGATTATGGTCCTATGATAAATGATGCCAAGGATTCGGTGCAGAATTTTAAGCACATAAACCATGCGGATTCCAAAAATGACGACAACTACGAAAATGATGATTATGATTATGAGGACGATGATGGTGATGAGGACGATGATAGCGATGGCAGAAACAATGGCAATAAGGATGACAGTGATGAGGAAGGAGGTGCTCAGAAAGGAGGTGACAGCGAGAGGTCTGATAAATCTGGAAGCAAACGCTAGATACCATAGACAAGCAAATCGTACTTCGACAGTGTTAATTGAAAAGTATTTATTTATTTATCAAAAAATACCATGTAAATGAAATTGTAGTTTTTACATAAGAATATTCAAGTTAGTTTTTGAACTCACCTAAAATTCGATAAGTCAATATTTGTTCTAAAAGTCAAGTGCAAATCGCAGACGATATCTCTCTTATTGAAATCTCATGAAGGGCTATAAACTTATGGATATTTTACCTATTATATAACAAAACGATCGGGTAGATCAGAGGATGGAGCCATGTGTAGAAGTTCAAGCAAGTGAGGAAAGCTCCTTGATTATCATTCACTAGGTAGTGACTGAACTGAATATTTTATATATGACTCAAGCAGTCACGACTTCTGGTCTTTGACCAAGTATGCTTTGGGTAGTCAGAAAACATCCGTTTGAAAGCGAGCTAAAGTGAGAAGGCGGAACATTCCCTCCACAAGGTTGTGCACTGGAACCCCCACGTAAAAAAACACTACTAAGGAAGTGAAGAAAAACTCTTTTGATGATGACCACTGAAAATGTGTTAAGGATTACGATTTAGGGGCATGCACCTGGGAAGGACCCGCTGATCAGCTGGTTGAGGTCCTCGTTAGGGTGAGGGCTGACATCACCGCCGTCCAAGAAATGCGATGGACGGAACAAGGACTGAGGCGAGAAAGTCCTTGTGGTATTTAATACAGTGGTCATATAGAGGACCGCAGATTTGGTGTGGGATTCCGCCGCCGAGTAGTGTCATTCACCTCGGTGGATGAAGTTCTATGCACCTATAAGAGCTGCCCCTGCCACGATATCTTATTCGTGCTGGACGAACACCAGGGTGGGCAAGGAAGGTATATTTGGCGTAAATTCAGCTTCCATGATGAAACATCCTCAAATGGATTGAGGTTGATCCCCTTCATCGGGGTCTGAAATATGGTTATCGGTAGTATTAGATTCCAGCTTAAGAAAACTCAAGAAGCCACTTGGCTGTCTCCGTATCGAAAAACCACTAACCAGATCGACCGAAAGTATAGTACCAGAAGAAGGTGAACCCGATTCCCCAATCGATGACAACGGAGCAGACGTTAAATCGTCCGGTCATGAAGAAGTTCGAATAGTAATCAACTGATTGCTGAAAATAACCCTAAGATTGGGTTGGAACATTTGCTCGGTGAAATTCTCGCATACCATATGTTTATCTTTAGTCAATGAAAAATACTAGTCATCTAAATAGTTTCGGTAAAAGGCTGTCATTAGAATGAAGATTAACCGAATCCAAAGCGTCGAAAGACGCAATGGTTAGGTGGCAATGCCAACGGCTACGTGCACCGAATATCAACAGCGACTATTATATGTAAGTATGCAGCATTGTTGGAACATTTGGAATAAAATCCACGTAGAAACGATGGACAATTAAACTTATACAAATTATTCCTTTTGTGAAAACTCATAAACAATTAATATTATAACAAGTAAGGAAGGGCTAAGTTCAGGTGTCACCGAACATTGAGATATCTTGATGAAACTTGTCATGCGAGAGTATAAAGCATGACAAGTTTCATCAGATATCTCAATTTTTGCTCAAGTTACAGCTTGCACGGGCGGATAGACAGACATCCGGATTTCAACTGATCACTTTGGTATATATAACTCTATATCTGACTCTTTTAGTTTTAGGACTTACAAACAACCGTTACGTGAACAAAACTATAATACTCTCCTTAGCAACTTTGTTGCGAGAGTATAGAAATGGAGCACATAGTGGAACTGGTCAAAAGTAAGAGGGGCTTTGTGGTAAGTATTACCATATGATATGTTGTTGTTTTCACAGCGCGGTGGTGGATATGCGATATATTAGGTACATATATAGACATTTCTAGTTCATACCATCGGCTTTATTTTCCATGTATGCAATATACATTATAGTATTAAATCGAAGATAATTAAGTTCATTTCAAAAGTACATCCGAATAAATAACTATCTAAAATAAATTGGACTTACTGGAATAAAAAGGTAAAACAGCTATTTTATATCCCTCATAACTCCGCCCTTGTGCAAAAGAGTTATGGTGTTTTTTTGTGTGCGAGAAAAGTTATGATTTCAATTTTTTGCAAATCATCATTAACGTTTGAGCACGCTACAATTGGCTTCAAGACCACAACACTTGTATTAAGTTTAAGCTAAACCCACTCTTTTCAAAGCTGGGTTAATACTTCTAACTGTTAACGGTGTGTGAGCGATGCAGACTTTTACAAACATTTAACTCAGTCAAACAGTGAACTCAGCACTAAAATTATTTAAAAGGGCGCTAAATGTTGAATATTTGGCTGCAATGCAAATATGTGTTAAATTATTTAAACATCTTTCAGCTACGAAAGTGGCGGTATGTTTGTATAAAATGTCTAGAGCGTTAAACAAACTGTTTCAGTCTTATTCGAAACTTAGGAAATGTCATTTTTAAATTTATTGCTAATTTGTGGATTAAATTTTATCTCGGTTGCATGTCAGGTGGCTAGCCTGGCGTTATCACGCGATGTTGATGATGAAGAGAGTACGGAACAAAACATCATCAACAAGGGTGTTGGAGCTCACGTTGAGAAGCAGAACTATATTGCAAAGCAATAACCGAAACTCGAAAATATCGAAGCGCCCATGAAGCCATTGCCCTAAAATATTATACTTGAACTGAGAGTACATCGTTAAAAAGCATTTGTTTTTTGTTTTTTTAGCTGAACAGTTGGTGGAATGGAAGAATGAGCACAGCAAGTTTTGCGAGCCTACAAAGTACTGAACATGTCTGTCAATGGACTATCAAAAATATCCTACACATGTGAAATCAATAACTGTTTTGTATTATACTCATATAGTAAATAAGATCTTTTTAAAAATACTAAAGTATTACAAAAACAGTTTTTTTTTTAATTTATAGTGAGTAGAAAAACTGCAATAAAAAAGGTTGATAGTTGAAAATACTCTCAAAATTTGTGTTAATGAAAATTAGCTCGCCCTAATATCTATTTTAGGTATACAAAAGTTTTAAAAATACAATTCCAAAGGTACTTGACGTTATTTAAACATCTATTTATATTTTACAATTGCAACCAATTTTCATTCAGTATCCTAATGAAAAATGATCTTGTTAACTTACTGCCATGGGGTTTTTATCACATTGGATGTTATCAGTAATATAAAAATAAATGATAGGAATTTGAGTGTGTTCTACTTCCATTTTTTTAGGTACGAATATTTTCTGAGTAGCATCAGTTTCTATGTCTGGATGCAATATAGGAAGAAACAAAAGTCAAACTAATATCTAATGTTCTCCATTCTGTTCCAATACTTTCACCCATCATTATGAATTTGCCTTTACGTTCTAAGAATTCAATTTCAATATTTTGTTGTTACATTTACGCTGCAATCGCAACTCACCACGGAGAGCTTAAAATTCCGAAATCTGTATTTCTATTAAAGGTTTATGAATCATTCATGCCTTTTCGGTTCAATTAAGTATAGAAATATTAATAACAGTTCTACATCGCATAACTCAGCGGTGCATTGTACTTTCCTTTACTTTACTTATTTGTTAATTAGATTCGAATCAAATGTCCGCTATAAAGATTTCATTAAACATGTAAATATACATTTTCGCTTATATATTCGATCATTTAGAAGATCTCCATTAAAATCGCATATAATTTCGACTGGTGTTTCGCTTATTGCCTACATTGTGGACCGTAGCGTGTAATAAAATTATAATACGTACAATAAATTAGCATTACAATAGCAAAAAAGTGTTCGAAACAATCACGTCAACAATAACTCAACTGGTTATTCTCACATCAACGTTGAATTAAAAACATTTGCTGAATTTCGAGTGGGTGTAACACTAGTTGGAATTATTGGCCTGAAGCAGAAAGAACTCTCAAATAAAAATTTATCAGTACTGAAATAAAATGTGCAAAATTTTTGTGCATTTCGTGTGTGTACAATTTCTGTTATTAAATTTTTATGTCATAAATGTTGTGAGTATAATGAACTTGATTTAATTTCTTTAGTTTATGAATTCATGTTTAAAGACAATACAATCATTGTTTGTTTTCGTAGCGTGGTCTGTGTCTGGCCACGGAACCACCAACTTGTTTAACGAATGTGAGTTTTGTTTTATGGTTTTATTGAATAGAAAATTTACTAAACCAATTAATTTATGTCCTTTCAAGTTGGAAGAGGAGGATGCCAAAGAAATTCTGGATTATGTGTTGAGCAAATATGAAGAAGTTGGCATGAAAATCACCGGCGAGCCATTGGCGTAAGTAGGAACTAAATTTGTGACAAATGCACATGATTCGATAACAAAAGTTTTAGCAAAATAACGTATCTTCACATAATTTGATATCGATTTTTTTATTGACTACGATTCTCCATATCATAATAAATATACATATAAAAACTTAAGCGTCTTCTTTGCAGTATAACCAATTTCTAACAAATATATAAATTTTGTTTTAATATGAGTACATTTTATTTCATATCGTTTTTTTTCTGCGTGATTTTGCATATACGATATGCAATATATGTTTATACACTTATGGCCACACAAAGCCTACCACTATACTTTCTTAAATTTTTTAGGTCTTTTTGGTTCGTTCGGGATTTTCTTAAATATTGTTTTTTGTTAAGTAAGCAGAAGTAAATTATATTTTATTATCTAAATATAATTACAGTTTTTAATATAATGAGAACAACACAAACTACATTTACTGTGCTATACAACAGTGACCGAATTTATTGTTTTTAAAGTGATACCGCGACTAAACTTCGTGTTTCAATTAAAAATTATTAAATAAAACATCAATTTCAATTATAGTGTATGTATGAAGTTAAATTAAAAAAATAATAAAAATATTTTTTTCATCGCATGTCAGTCTCATTTCGAATTCATTTTGTAAAGCTTACTAACTTTCAAATAATTTTGTCCATTGCTGAAGGTGTTTTGCTTTTAGTTTTTAATATTTTTGATATATGTATTTCTAAACAAAAAATTTCTATACCGCAAAAAGTACCAATATAAAGTGTTGTTAAATATGCACAACGCTTGAAACTGTTGAATGGTAAGCTTTGCATGGCCACGAGTGTATAAATGTATTGAAGTATGCAAATCTCCTCTGCCGTTTTTTTTTCGCAAAAATGCGTATGTTTTACGAGCTTTAGAATGAGGTTTTGAAAGTATCAAAGCGGCAGTCACCAAAGATGCACAGCGATCAAATTTTATTTACATGTAACCAGGATTGAAAATAATTCAATGCAAAAAATATTTGAATTATCATTTGAATCCATAATGTCTGGTTTTTAAAATCAGAAATATTTCAAAAAAAAAAAAAAAAAAAAAATTATAAGGGGAGGCTAAGTTGAAGGGCAACCGAACATTTAATACTCTTGCAAGAACCAAAGCCAGAGAAATACCAGGGCATCGAAATGCAACAATATACGTATATATACATATATTATATATGTGCACGGAACTTAGGGGTAGTATTGAACAGATTTTATTTATTTTTGCCAATACATACAGTTAACATACCACATGCTAATAAATTGTTTCCCGTTTCTTTGATGTACCTCACATGCCATCACCAATCATATGGAGTAAAGTCAATCAGATGTTCGAAAATCCTAATGCCAGTTATATTGGGCTAGGTAAAGTTTTTCCCGCGCTTTTTTTTTTTAATTTAAGCGCAAAGATAAAATGTTATGAGCAAAATATGCTCTCTCATTTTTATAAGCGGTAGGCGTGCTTTTTGTCCAAAGTCAACCATTTTCGCACTGTGATATGAAGAAGAATGTCAAGTATAAGTTGATTGCAATCGATAGGGTGGGTCCTGAAATGTGCCCACGCCCATCTTTCAGTTTCCACCTCGGCTCCAATTAAGGCTGTAACATTTTATGTCTCTGTGGTAAAAGTTGATCAATTTTGTTTTTTCCTTATTTTTTAAAGAAAAGACACAGAAACTTCAAATTTAATGGGACAGTTTTATTATCATTAGAAAAAATATTCTTTGAAATTACTTTTTTGAAGATTCTTCTTCTTCTTAATTGGCGTAGACACAGCTTACACGATTATAGCCGAGTTAACAACAGCGCGTCAGTCGTTTACTCTTTTCGCTACGTGGCACCAATTGCATATTCCACTTGAAGCCAGGTCCTCTCTACCTGGTCCTTCCAACGGGGTGGAGGTCTTCCTCTTCCTCTGTTTCCCACGGCGGGTACTGCGTCGAATACTTTCAGAGCTGGAGTGGTTTCGTCCATTCGGACAACAAGACTTAGCCAGCGTTGGCCACGGCGGATATCGGATTCGAAGGAACGATGAGCTGTACGAGATATATGACGACATTGAAATAGTTCAGCGAATTAAAAGTAGCCGCCGTGGACAACGCACAAAGGACCAYAAATCTTTCGCAGAACTTTTCTCTCGAAAACTCGCAACGTCGACTCATCAGTTGTTGTCATCGTCCAAGCCTCTGCACCATATAGCAGGACGGGAATTATGAGTGACTTATAGAATTTGGTTTTTTTCGTCGAGAGAGGACTTTGCTTCTCAATTGCCTACTCAGTCCGAAGTAGCACCTGTTGGCAAGAGTAAGTTGGATTTCCAGGCTGACATTGTTGGTGATGTTTATACTGATTCCAAGATAGACGAAATTATCTACCACTTCAAAGTTATAACTGTCAATAGTGACGTGAGAGCAATGTCGCGGGTGCGACGACTGTTTGTTTGATGACAGGAGATCCTTAATTCGGTTGCCATGGTAGTCATCAAAAGGGGGATCACACATCTGAGGCTTGTTGTTCTTTTCATTGCGTGCGATTTTTACGCGGCGGGTCCCAAACCCAGCGCACAACCATGCGGAGGGGATGTTTCGCCTTCTCAGTTTAGCTCGTCTTTAAACAAATATTCTTAAGCTATCCAGAAGATACTTGGTCAAAGACCGGAAGTCGTGAGCTGCTTGAGCCATATGTAAAATAATCATTTATGGCCACTCCCAAGTGAATGGCGATCAGAGAATTTTCCTCACTAGCGTGAACTTCTACTCATGTCTCCATCCTCCAAGGATAAAGAGATTATCTCTTTCAAATGTTGTCGTCGAGTTAAATTTTCGATGACTCGTTCAAGATTTCGACTGGTAACTGGCGAATACACATCCAAGGTTTAAATCGAAGTGTGATTGTCCGCATAGACATTAGACTTTATATATCCCTACACATCACATGATCTTGGTATCTTGGTGGCCAATGTACTGGCCCAAAACGTGAAATTGTATACTCACCGAAGTGTTATTTTGATGATACCATCGATTAATGCGATGTGTGTAAAGTTGGAAACGTCGGCCTTTCAAGAGCCCATGAAGGGTGAATTTTTGTAATAAAATTGAACGGATTGCAAACACTGTTCAGGCGTCAGTATTTCCATGATGAAATGACAAACCTGAATAAAAATAACGTGACAGCTTGACCCGACTCACGCGTGATCCGTCGAAAAAAGCTATTGAAAAAAGTACCTCTACTTAAATCACCCGTTATTTAGTTTTTTGTTTATCTCACTGTCAGTATTTTTTAACAGTACCGTTATATGGAAAGTGGACGGGAATCGCGATAAATCGTTTTTATTTCTCAGAAAAATCAGCAACGCCCATCTCCTTCCCTTTCCCGACCTCTTACAATGTTTTTCATTTTATCTTTCATTTCCGATATGTATTTACTTTTTTTAAATTTTCAAAGTCTTCTTCACTAGGCTAACAACCCAAAAATATTATTTAACAGACGTTAAAAATAGAAAGACCCCACATATTATTTAAATTGCATAGCTCAACAAAAAATAAATTGTTTTTCATTTGAGTTTTACTTAATAGATATTATTCTGGTTATTTGAGCAAATATATGTATATCGGGAAAGATGATTATAGCGATTTGACTGTTTTTGATTTTCGGGCAGTTGCCTTCAAACGAGAGGCAAGAGCACGGGAGATACACCGCTAATGCTTTTCATAATTTTGCTTCCTGTAACAACCATCACAAAAAGTTTTCGAGAAGTTGTAAGCGGCGAAGTCACTAAACTGAGAGAAAAAAGTTCGATTTTAAGTAAAAGTTTAAAGATTTTCGAGACATATTAATTTTAATGTTATCTACCTGCTAAAATTCAGGACACAAAATGGGCTCCATATGTGACATTTAATTTAATTGATGAGTTTATTGCCTCTTGTTATACTCTCGCAACATGTTGCAATAGAAGTTTTGTTCCCCTAATGGTTGTATCACCCAAAACGAGTTCCGATAGATTTATATAGGTTATATAATATATATATACTAAATGATCAGGATGACGAGCGAGTTGAATTCTGGAGACTGTCTATCTGTCCGTCCGTGTAAGCTGTAACAAGAACAAGAATTGAGATATCTTGATGAAACCTGGTATACGCGTCCTTTGGAAAAAAATTAAATACCCGTAAAAGCCAATAAAGCTATAACAACCAAATTTACCCAACTATAATATGTATTATAAGAACTCCTACCGGCACTTCCTATATAACATAAATTATATACTACGCGGCAAATTAATAACTAAATGTACCAGAGACTTCCGAGTTAAAGAGGCCGACGTCAAAATTCGACTACGGGCGTGGCACCGCCTACTTTTAGGTGAAATCAAATACCGCGCGACCGAATTGGACTATAGCCACGCCTACTTTTCATACAACACAAATCGAAATTCCATTTGAAACTTTCACTTTCCTATGAAGGGCTTCGACCGAGACAACATTGTTTTCAGGATACTTTTAATATATCTTTAGCTGACACTAAGTAAAAATTGGTAATATAGTTAAGTCTAAGTTTTCAATATAAATCAAGACATATCGATTTGAATAATAATTGAAATCTCTTGCAAACAAGTATAAAAGCAACAAAAAACATATGTAGAACGCGAGCGCAAGAATGATTTTGACCAGGCTACTTATAGTTAAAATATACTTTTTAACACTTTTTAAGGAATTCAAAGTTTCCAGTTTCATAACTATGAACACATTTTCGCATCGAAGTCGATCTAATTTTTACCCTCTTAAAGCTGGAAGAGACAACGAAAGTGCAAACAAATATGACGAGATAGATGGTTCTTAGTCTTCAGTGAATACATAATTTTTCCCTCATTTGAATTCTTGAAGTTACTTACATATGTGATATTTATTATCTTTGCAGGGTTCGTGGCAAGCGCATATCGTCCGGGGGCACTGAAGAGTTTCACATTGTCTTCCACTACGTGGACAATACTCCTGGTGATGTGATGCAAAATTGTGTTTTCATTGTTGTGCATAATCCAAATGCATGCGAGACTATAAGTACAGTGTGTAATACATTTTTACCCGTAACTCCCCGACCACTCCTAAAGCTCGAAGATTTAACCGTTTGCGAGGATGGCGAAGAAACCGGAGATGAGAAAACGGCATAAAAACGACTCACACGGAGTAGCAAAAAAAAAAAAATAAAAATAAAAAAAAAATAAATACTCACCACTTTGAATATTAGAAAATAAGTTTGTAGTTATTATTTAAGCAATATTGTGAATATATTCAAAGCAGGTTATTCAAATATTATTCTACTCTATTTAGTAATGCAATATTTTTAAGATATATGAAAACATTAAAGTATTGAATTCTTAAATTTAAACAACGTCTATTGCTTTTTTGAACTTGTACTAGATATTAAAATAAATTTAGTAGGTCAGATTATAGGTAAGAAACTGAAATCAGAATATCCCGTGGTTGCGAAGATCTTGGAGTACTACGAGGTCGAAAATGATTAGCAAAAACCAGAGAAGAATGCTAGCACACTGATCTCATGGCGACAATGGTATAGGCCGACGTGGAATCTGCAGACAGGTAGGGGTATTCTCTTGCAAAACTCTTGCACGGTGTACAAATTGCATATTTTCCCACCTAATGCAACGGCACAACAACAAACACACGCATGAAAATATTTCCAAGAGCTGTAAAATATGTCAGACCAAAACCCATGTTTATTTTCGTGCAATGTCACGCAAAAATATAATTGCAACCCTGTGCTAGCTGTCATTTTACTTAAGTACACATTTTGACGTTAATTTGTTGAGGAAGGCAAATTTTAAATAGATTTTATAATTTTTATTTAAATTAGAAAGATTTGTTACAGTGTTTTTTTTTTTTTTTTTTTTTAATTTTTTTTTCCTTTTTTTTTTTTTAATTTTTTTTGTTAAGAATGAATGCAGCCGATAGCCATGCACAATAGTAATTTACAATAAATTCACCGAATCAGCCGCTCATGTATCACTAGATTCTGCAATGGGTGCTCTCGTGCTCTCGTGCCCTTGTATATTTCTTTATTTCATTTTTGCAATCTGCAATCTTGCAAGAGCAAGATGTGTTTGACTGAAATAGGGCAGACCGAGTACCATGCGCAACGAATTAGGTTTGTACTATATTGATACTAGTCATCTTAACAAATTTTTATGATATGCACGTATTTGAAAGTGAGTACCATAAATGCCAGATATACTTGTACTATATAATTGAACTAAAAAATTTCGACTATAAATTTTCTATCCCGATACCTCCTATGTTTTCTTAGCCGGTAGATTACTTTTGAATTTAGATAAAGCTTTTGAAATGGCTTCAATAGAAGATACAAGCTTTATTGGTCTAATCGCCTTTTAGTTAATTGATCATTTAACATGCCTTTGTTTGATTGGCGCACTAATTTAGAACGATTTACGTTACGAAATAAAAATCTGATTTTACTACATTAGCTCTTAATCGAATTGAAATTGAGTTGAAACTGGAGTGCAGCTCTTCGAGTTATTGTTCACTCTGTTGATTTAGCTATGTTTAACTCTACCGGTTGTTGTCCAGGCTGTGGATTCGGTTGTGTGTTGTTGATAAGAAATCAATCATCTGATGAATTTTTAGCATTAGAAAAAATACAAAATAAAGAATATAAAAAAATATAACAGCTGATTGTTAATTGAGTAGCCGATTTTACGAAAGCCAAATACTGGTTTATCACTACTAACAAAAAAATAATGAATTAATTTGGCTGTACGAAAAGGCTATAATGACGAGCAGAAAATGTCACACACCCTTTGAATTTGAAAGAACTTTTATCATTCACATCAACCACTAGCTTTTGTCGCATACTCTGTTGAGTTTTTATTCTGAAAATAAAAACGGGTTTTGTCTTAGGTTCATTGTGAACGTGGATGGGTGAAATACAGACTAAGAAAAGCTCGCTCCAACACTCCCACTTATGCTCACTAATACATTGGCAAATAGTGAGCAGTAAACGAGTTTTGGGCGCACATGCTGATGACCTTCCCCCATATTTAACTAGTAATAATGGAGCTCGTAAACAAATCGCCACACAAACAAACAAACAAAAAATTACAAAATTACATACATATGTGTGTACGTAACTTATCTCCGCACGTAGGAATATGTTTGTCATCTCTCATGAGAGCAGTTCACGTTTCCTCTTAATTGGAGCGACTTCGTTTGCAAACAATTGTTGTTACTCATTTCATGTTGGAATTGTTACAGTTGTAGTTGTTATCAAAAGATATTCAATTATTATTTTTTTTTTGTTACTTTTTGTAACGGTTGGAGTATACGAAAGCAAGTACTTAAGAGCTAGAGAGAATGTTTACATAATACTAACTTCATTTGGTATTTTTTAGAAATCAATATGTATATAAAATAAAGTGGGATGTTTGTGGAATTTCTGAAGTCTAACAGTAGCTAGTCGATTTTGTTAAATATGAGCAGTTTAAGTAGAATTAAAAATTAGTAAATATCATAAACCCGAGAATTTCGAATTAAATTTTTTTTTAACCACAAATTTTTTAAATTTTATCATGATTGCACCAAATTTATGTTCGAAATATTACTCATTTTTGAAAGTTTCAAAAAATCATTTAAAAAACTTTAAGACTTCGTGCATATACATATGTATATGTACATACATCTGTTACCACTTTGGTAAATTAAGGTTTATATTTCATACGAGCCTCAAACGATAAGATTGAGAGCTACTTAATGATTTGAAGAAAATTAAACTCCACTTAGCTAATAAAGTCCGTGTTGTGGACTTTTCGTAAACTCCATACATCAATTTGCTAAGATCAAAGCCGGCTAACTTCCTTCAGGTGTTGGTAAAACTTTATATTAAGGGAGTAAGGAAGTTGTAAGTAGAGTAAAATTTCAAATAACTAACTATTTTTCATGTATATGGTACAAAGTCAATCGGTACTTCGCAAACCTTTTTAATAGGATTATATCCGAATTTATATAATACATCTCACAGATTGACCAATGTTTCGATAAAAAGTTCGCAATTGGCCGTTTTATCCACGTATTCGGTATGTTCGGCTTGAATAGTTTTTGTCCGATTTGGACATTTTTTGGTCATAAGGTGGCGGACTTTGTCGATATATTTATTGGTGTTTGATTTGAATACTGGAAAGCTCCATATCACCTTTTTCCTAGGACCTGTAGTTTTGCCTGAAATGGAGATAACCCGTTTTAAGCTTTTAAATGTTCAAGGGTGTATTTTCCCTTCCTCTCCCGCCCACAGATAAAAAATAAACGTAAATTACATTTTCTTTCATTTTTGTTGCTTTAAAATGCTCTTTCAATAAGCTTTTCAAACCTCTACAGTGGTCTATTAATAAAATTAAAAAGAAAGGGATTTAATTCCTTTTTCCTTACTCTCAAAATATATTAGTAATGTTAGTTTTCTTGAAAGCTATATAACGGATTATCCCTGACAGATACCCATAAGCACACCTTTATAATTTTAATTAAAATCTTTATTTTCGGAAAAAAATTAAGTTAATTTTGTGGCATTCTATATCTATTTTTACGACATATAATTTTAACTAAAATGCTCCACTGCGGTAAAATCAGCTGATTTCGTGAATAATATTCATCAATGTTTGGAATACAACTTTGAGAATGTGCATGTGTATGCCGGCACATGTATCTCTCTGAGTACGAGTCTGAGCAGTAAGTAAAGGGGTGTTAATATAGTTGATGATAGTATCCAGGTTGCCAGAGCTGTCGCAATTAGCATTTATAATTTATTTTTCGAATATTTGAAGTATAATAATTTATATAAAATCAGAACTGCTCCAGTATTACACCAAATAAGTACCTACATATATATTTGATTTATCTTTTGCCTCTCTTGTTATTTCTTTGATTTGAATCAGAAATAAGCCGAACCCGTTAAGTTGTCGTAGTAACTAATATCGCTCTTGGATATTACTGTTGTCAAAGCCAATAATCCCACAGAGTCGCCAAGCAACACGATGGCAATGCCACAAACGCGCACCCCTGGTATGCATGGCTCTATGTCGTAGAGTCTACGAGCCCATAGCTTTGTAAGAGAGCAATTCAATGCAAGTATTTGAGCGTCTTAAAGCTTAMATATTAATATGTATTGGGGCGCACGCATAATTCGAACTCACGAGCGCATATTGAGCACGAAAAGTTAAAAAAAAGTCGCTGAAAAAGAAGGTAAGGCTGAAGCAACACAAACACAAGCAGAACGGAATGGCCGTGAGTGAGCAAGTTCAGTGTAAAAGTTGCCGTCGCCTGAAAATGTTGTGCACCGGAAATTGAGCAGCGGATGTGGAATGGCCGCCGGTGAACGATTTAGAGAGAAAATCTTTGCATAATCAAAATATTGAAGTTAACTAAAACCCAATAGAGAAGTGTTTGCTTAAATGTAATAAATGTGTTAAATAAGTGCTAATGATTAGTGCATTACTGTCTAATTTGTGAATAAAATAATTTGGGTTGAAAACTTTTTTGCAGAATCTGTGCTGTAGCGAGGTATATTTTTTTCTCGCTGCACACAAAGTATTGAAAAGTGAGCAAAAAGCCAATGAGAACGCTTTGTGTATAAACGACAGACTTACGCACTGTGTAAATGGATGACCGATTACTAGACTTAATAGTGGCTTGTTGGCTGACACATAGACCGACAGACAAACGGCACACAGTCAGACGGACTACTGCTGTGGTGAATTGAGTGAGTGTCCGTCGCACTGGCTGGCTAACTGCGAGAGTAAATGAGCAAAACAAAAACAGCAAAGCAACAAACAACAGCAGGGCAACAACAAAAGGCGAAAAACACATTGCACGCGTTATCAGCGGCAAGTGAAACAAAATTAAAAATGTAAAGCAAAACGAAAACAAGTAATAATACTATTAAGCATAACAAGTGCAGCGCTTGTCAACAGCACCTACTCACACCCCCACACATGTTTGTTTGTGTATGTGTGTGTCCATAAACCAATGTTGACAGCAATAAAGCAAAATAAATAAATAAATCAAGATGTGTAAACGCTAACGTGTCGAAACAGGAGCAAGTACTTAAAACAAAACAAATGAAATCGGTGTGAAAATAAACAGTGGATTCTTTTGCTGCAGAGCATAAACAGAACATACACAAAAAAGTGAGCAAAACAAAAACTAATCGCACAAGCTTCAGCAATTTAAAAATGTTTTAGAAAGTCCACTATCATATTCAGTATAAGTCTCCTTCAATTTCAACTTCTTGGTGATTTCAATCATTGGATGATTTAAATAAATACTATTAGATAAAATCTCATCAACTTCTTCAGCCGATATCTTCATTAATATAATACATTTTTAAGGTAAAGTTTCTGAATAATTGGCATGTGATATAGTTGTCCGATAATACCCATTCCGACAAATGATCAATGCAATATCACAATACACCATAGGGGGATTCTCTTGCTCTTGCAAGATTGCGGATTGCAAAAATCCTATACCGAAATATACAAGGGCACGGGAACACCCATTGCAGAATCTAGTAATACATGAACGGCTGTTATTCATGGTTATTGTGAATTGGCGCACCATCTGTATTCATTCTTAAAAAAAATCTGAAAGAAATATTTATAATTTAAATAGAAATTATAAAATCTATTTAAAATTTACATTTCTCAACAATATGTATTTAAATGTGGGTTTTGGTCTGACATATTTTACAGCTCTTGCAAATATTTTTCTGCGTGTGTTTGTTGTTGTGCCGTGTATTAGGTGGAAAAATCTGCAATTCTTGCACCGTGCAATGGTTTCGCACGGGGAAGAGAATACCCTTCATGTACTACCGTTATCAAATTGAAAGGTGAATTTTTAATTTATACTACGCGTGTTTTTCGAACTGGTAATTTTTTTCTGAAAGTTGGTAGGACTGTTGATGAATTTCACGACAAAATATCAATAGTACTTGGGTAATGGGTCATTTTGTGAGGCTCTAAAAGCGAATTTCTAGATTTTTACTATGTCTGAATTTATTGAAGGGTCCGATGGCCATCACGACGAAAGATTGTTCCAAGTGCTATGATAACTGGAAAATTCGTTGGCATAAGTGTATTGCAGCGGGGGCGGACTACTTTGAAGGAGATGAAATTTACCAATCAATTTGATCGCAGTCGTATTAAGTTTCATTCGGATATCTGAAAAACTGATAAAAAAAAATTTATGATCTCTAAAAAACTTCGCAAAAATACCAAAATTCTTTGGCTCAAAACTGGTTTTTGACCTATAGCCTCTTCGGCAACGTTACTCAGAATGGTCCATAGAACATTTCCAGCATACGCGACTTTCCCGTTTTCCCGTGGTTCTCTGGTCTAGTTGCTGGTACTATATAAAACAAAAAGTTCGATGTATACTCTCTGTCAGAAATTTCGAAATCAATTATGTTTTAGCTGCCCAATTGACGCTCTTCTCAGTTCATATCATCGGCATTTCAGTAGGAACCTTAAACATGATACAATAATGTTGCGTCGACGAGACCACTTTTGCTCAGTTATTTCAATTAAGATTATCATTTAATATTCCTTTCGATAAAAAACGATAAATTATAACTCCGAATTAATCAGCTTTAATTATATATGATATATTGTAGTACCTCTTTGTGTTGCTGCGCTTCGAAAGAATAATTGACCTTTTCTGTTTCCATTTTGTACGAGTAATAAATAAATCAAATTTCGTCACAACTCGGCTGCCCTGTTATTCAAATTGTAATTAACTTCCAAGTGATTTCGTAACACTTCCCACTCTCTCGCACATACTCCCTTATGACTTGCCATTATTATTAATTTACTTCTTTATTTTGTAACACTAAAATACGCGCGCTCCATTTCTCCATTTACGTTATCCTGAGTACTTATGTCCTTTGCTGCTTAGCATTTTAACCGCGCAAGCTTCATGATTTCTCGTTCTCGTCGCTTTTTTCGCGTTAGCTCACCATTTTAACGTTACGGAACGTTACGAAACTTTGCTTCATTTCTCCATTTTCTACCTTTTATGTTTTACTATTCACTTTTGTTTGTCTGATAGTTACAGTTTAGCATTTTGGTATGCCACCACTAGGCGGGCACGGACTTATACGTAGCATGCGGTATTCTATTTATTTACACGCAAAATGCAAAAATTTCAGTGGTCCGCAAATTGTTGGAGAACCAAACTGAAAACTTTTAAGAGATATAGGTAAATACATACATATGTGTACTCGAAGAAAGAAAAGTAGGACAGTTTTACCGATTTATCCATGTGGTTAATTTTTTTTTATATCCAGGATAGGGTATATTAAGTTTGCCACTAGTTTGTACCACCCAAAAGAAACTTTGGAAATAATAAAAAGTAAGATAACATTAAGCCGAATCCGCCTTTCTGTCCGTCTGTATATACCCAAACTGGACCTACATTTCTTGTTATATCGATGTAAAAGCTTGCAGACGTCATTTTCTCTCCATGAAACACACGCTCATTTCTCGGAACCGCTGATATTTCACCACTGTAGGATATAACTGAAGAAGAAGAAGGATGTAACTCTCATACAAACAAATCTATCAAAATCAAGACTTTGTATGGAAAACTTTTTTATGTGACAAAACGCGAAATTCGACATGAAGTATTCTCCTAAAACCATGTTACTAACTCTAAGATAAGACCACTATAGCACTTAACTTCCATACAAACTGAAGGATTCATATCAAGATAATGGTCTTCATAAAATATCTTATATCTAATTAAGTAACAATCATTGTTTATGTTAAACAAAGTCGCCAAAAAAGCAACCAAAACGTTATTATACGAAGTTAATTTTTTATTGCTTCTGAAGGACTTGGAGCCTCTGCCGATAACTTAGTAAAATAAATTTAATGCAGGTAACAACACAGCCTTTAAGATTAAAGTCAAATTAATTGTAAAACACTGTTAGAAAGTCCTCTTCGTCCAATTTCAAACCCTCTTTCCATATGAAGAGTGATTAATTTCGAAGTTCCCTATTATTTTAAAGAAAAAATACAGAAAGTTTTTTTCTTGTCATTAATTTTTTTAGGTTTACATCTTACCCTCCAAAATTACGAGCTTCAATTTCAGTCATCAAATAGTCGGTTTTCACGGCGGTTACGATTTTACCGGAATTATTTGTGAAGAAAAATGGCCCGACGAATCCATCTTCTTCGTCCCAAATGCAGCCATTTTGCTTGTTTACCTACCCATTGAGCCAGAAATGGCCGCCATCGCTAAACGAAATTTGACTCGAAAACTTTAGGAACTTTTCAAGAGTCCATAGAGTGAAGCCATGTCGCTTGGGAAGGTCGAGCGGCCTTAGTTCTTGCACAAACAGTATTTTGTATGGCTTCAATTTAAGATCTTGACGTAAAATGCACCAAGGCGTTCCATACATCAAGCCGAGTTGTTCAGGCGTATGTCTTTCCATGAAATACTAAACATTCGTGAACAAAAATAACATGACAACTTGGCACGACTCACGTGTGATCTGCCAAAAGAAAGGTCATTAAAAAATGGATCAACTTTTGTTGTCATTTGGAACATTTTGAGTTGCAAAAACCAAAATTTTGAGAATGTGGCAATTCTATATTATATCCCAATATAGTACATTAAGTACGATGCAATTGATTTAGTGATGTTCTAATTTTTTTAACCGGTCTGGTAGGGTTTCTTGAGATAGGTCTTAGCGTCGCCGTATTTTCCAATCTGATTTAAATTCCTGACCTCCGAGTGACTAAGTCAAACCAACACTATTTTTATAAAATCTTGACATTGGCCACAGATAGTAAATTGGGTATACTAAAAATATGAGTACATGTATATCAACATCATGTAATTTAGAGTTAAAATTTCATATAGCCCCCGAGCACCCAATATAGTTGATTCTTTATATCCTACATATCGGTTATGTCTCAATAAAATGATACAATAATGTAAGGCTTAGAGAAAAATTTCATCACTTTTGTTGGTCCTTCAATGGTTTTTTTCTCCGCGGCATAAGGGAACCATTTTACTAATAAAATAAGAAGGAATAATTAAAATATTTGCCCCTTCATCTTAAAATTTTTCAATCTGCCCATTCCACAACATACTTCTTCTTCTTCATCATAATTGGCGTAGACACCGCATACGCCATTATAGCCGAGTTAACAACAGTGCGACAGTCGTTTCTCCTTTTCGCTACGTGGCGCCAATTGGATATTCCAAGCGTAGCCAGGTTCTTCTCCACCTGATCCTTCCAATGGAGTGGAGGTCTTCCTCTTCCCCTGCTTCCCCCKGCGGGTACAGCGTCGAATACTTTCAGAGCTGGAGGGTTTTCGTCCATTCGGCCAACGTGAGATAGTCAGCGTAGCCGCTGTCTTTTAATTCGCTGTCTGAAATTCGTCATATATCTCATACAGCTCATCGTTCCATCGAATGCGATATTCGTCGTTGCCACCGCTCATAACGTCGACTCATCAGATGTTGTCATCGTCCATGCCTCTGCACMATATAGCAGGACGGGAATAATGAGTGACTTATAGAGTTTGGTTTTTGTTCGTCGTGAGAGGACTTTACTTCTCAATTGAATACGCAGTCCGAAGTAGAACCTGTTGGCAAGAGTTATCCTGCGCTGGATTTCGATGATATCAATATCATCGGCATACGCCAGCAGTTGTACACTCTTATAAAAGATCTATTTAGGCAACTCTTTTTCGTGCTGTCGAAAGCAGCTTTGAAACCGACGAAGAGGTGGTGTGTGTCGATTCTCCTTTCACGGGACTTTTCCAAGATTTGGCGCATGGTGAATATCTGGTCGGTTGTTGATTTACCAGGTATAAAGCCACACTGATAAGGTCCAATCAGTTTGTTGACGGTGAGCTTTAATCTTTCACACAATACGCTCGATAGAACCTTATATACAATGTTGAGGAGGCTTACCCCACGGTAGCTGGCGCAGATTGTGGGGTCTCCGTTTTTGTGGATTGGGCATAGCACACTTAAATTCCAATCGCTGGAAGTTGAAGCATGCCCAGTTCTTCGCCGCCGTGTTTGAATAGCTCGGTAGGCAATCCATTGGCCCCCCCTGCTTTGTTCTTCTTCAGGCGGGTAATTGCTATTCGAACTTCTTCCTGGTCGGGCAATAGAACATCTGCTCCGTTTTAATCGATTGGGGAATCGGGTTCACCTTCTCCTGGCGTTGTACGTTCACTGCCATTCATCAGGCTGGAGAAGTGTTCCCTCCATAATTTAAGTATGCTCTGGGCAGCCGTGACTAGATCACCTTTGGGGGTTCTACAAGAGTATGCTCCGGTCTTGAATTTTCCTGCATTATCCCTGTCGGCCA